AAGGGAACGGAGGCGGTGCCGGGCACACGAGCAGCTTGGGCCTGTGCCGGGCGGAGAGTTTTCCGGTGCTGCTGGACTGCAGCCAGGGCGCCGGCATTGTGCTGGGCGCAGCGAGCAGCTGCGGACGAGCCGTTAGCATTGCCCAGATCCTGCCCGATTCGGTGGCCGATCGCAGCGGCTGCATCCAGCCGGGCGATCGCATTGTGGCCATCAATAAGATGTACAGCCTGGACGCGGCTGCGATGCGCCAGCTGCTGGACGGACGCGCCGGCAGCGGTGCGCCCGCTGCGGCCAACTGGCTGGAGCTGGAGGTGGAGTTCGATATGCCCGATGCGGTGGTGCCCTCCAGCGGCGTCTTCAACGTGAAGCTGCTTCGCGCGGCCAAGTGCGGCCTGGGCCTCAGTGTGAGCGGCTCCAGTCATGCGGGTCTGGTCATATCCGATGTCAAAATGGGCAGTCCCGCCCATCGCTGTGGCTCGCTGCGACCGGGCGACATACTGCTAGCCGTGGATCAGCATCCCGTGCAGCATTTCAATGTGGATGCCTTGCTGAAGGAGCTGCCCACGCCGACGCCGACGCCGACGAGCAGCGCGGACTACACCACGCTGACCATCAAGCGGGTGGTGCTGCCCGACTTTCTGCCCAGCCCCATCTACAGCAACTGCACCACCAGCACCAGCGGCGCCGTGGTCGCCGGCGAGAATGAGCTCTACAGCAGCGCCTATGTGGCCGGCAAGTATGGCGAGGGCAAGTACAACGATTGCGTCTCGCTCAAGTCGAGCACGCCGCAGCCGGATTACTTCCGCGGCGCCAGCCTGGACGAGACGGGCAGCCTGCAGTCCGTGCAGCTGCGGCATGCGGCGCCAAATGGCGGCTGGCCAACGGGCAATGGCTGCTCGAACAGTCGCTCCTTTGCCGGTGCGCCGAACACACAGAGTCTGACCACGGAGCTGCCCGTGGAGGAGGAGGATGAACAGGACGAGGATGATCAGCAGCAGTCGCAGTCGCAGCCGCATCACGGCCCATACGCCGGCTACGAGCTGAATCGCTATGCCAGGTGAGTGACCCACATTGCCAGCGCGGAACAAGTGCAGCAAGCTAATGCTCTCAATGCTCTACGATAGCGTGGACTGCACGGCCTTGCCGCCGCCCATGGAGAGCAAGGTGTACGGCTCGGCGGCCAGTTCGAGCAGCAAGAGCAGCGGCAGCAGCCTGCATCAGATCATCTTTACGGTGCGCCTGGAGCCCAAGGGCGGACTCCTGGGCATAACGCTGGCGGGCAGCGAGGACATCACCAAGCCCATAACCATAAGCGGCCTCGTGGAGGGTAAGTGAGCAGTCGCCAATTCGTGGCACTAACTAAAGATGGATGCACTTGCTCCACGCTCACGCTCTGCTTGCAGGCGGCATTGCACACAAGAATGGCCAAATCCATGTCGGCGATCAGCTGCTGGCCATCGATGAGCACTCCGTGCAGGGCATGCCGCTCTCGCATGCCACCAGCCAGCTGCACAATCTGGGCGACCTGGTCGACCTGAAGATACTGCGTAGCCACGACATCAACAACAGCGCCAGCGGCAACTGCAGCCTGCCGGCCAACCAGGCGATCTATGCCAAGGTGCAGCGTCGCCCGCGCAGTCCCTCGGCCAACACCGAGGCAAGCAACAGCAATGCCAAGGATCAGCAGCAGCAACAGCAGCAGCAGCGCGTGTTCCATGTCACACTTTACAAGGATAAAGTCTACGATGACTATGGCTTCTCAGTCTCGGACGGGCTCTACGAGCGCGGCGTCTTCATCAATCGCATACGGAGCGGCGGACCCGCAGACATGTGCGGCCAGCTGAAGCCCTTCGATCGCATCATGCAGGCAAGTGTAGTTCGTCAGCTAGATCCTTGGCCAACCCAATCAACTCCCCCACGTTCACAGGTCAACGAGATGAAGACCCAGGACTTTGACTGCTGCCTCACCGTGCCGCTGATCGCCGCCGCCGGCGACAAGATCGAGATGATCATGCAGCGCTCCGAGTGAGCGACGATCCATGTTTCGCTCGAGAGGCCCAAAGTTTCGTTCTAACTTTTCTTTTCTTTACTATTTTTTTTTAATCTTTAACTAGTTGTATCTTAAGTCTTAAAGCTAAGTGCCATTTTTTTTGTATCTAACCGCCGAGTTCCCTTTCCGGATGCAAAACTGATCTGATCATCGACCCAAGCCCACCCACCCACTTTCTGATATGCCTTGACTAATTTTAGCGACAATAAGTGCCAAGTGCCTGCAAGTTTTTTTTTTTTTTATAATAATATATATACATAATTATATATATACATCTATATATATAGCGAGAGACTAATATACCAACGATTGTCTACCATAACCAAATAAAAAAGAGAGAGACATTTCATCATTAAATAGCTCCATACGAAAATAATACATAGTTCCAGATTTATTTAAATTAATGTTATTTATATGAACAAAAAAAAGTTTCAAAAAGTCAACTTAAATGAACCTCAAGATGTTTCCAGCCCAGAACCCATAAATGGGTAAAATGTGTATACTAGTTCTGCCTTAAGACAGCTTCTCCGATCCCATAAAGTATCAAATATTAGGTTTATATCATCGTATATCGATGTACAAAATTGTTATATATATATTTTCGATATTTCACCATTTCCACAATATCGATATTTATCGATTTTGAGGCTTTTGAAGCTAAACTCGCACTTGCAGCATATATAGATGAGATATATTTAATTTCTTTCAAAATTGAACAGGAAATTGATTCTTATAGGAGGACTCTTGCCATTTTGTACATTTCCAAATACCCCTTAAGGCTCTACGATATGGAGCTCAGTTTTCAAAGGGTTAGTTTTATTTAAAATAATTCAAACTCCTTTTAATCCTTTGCTCAATTTCTGCAAATTGTATATTTTGTGCAGAAAAGTGGCAACGCCGCAGCGGGAAACTAGCGAAAGAGTTGCCAGACTGTTCAGAAACTGCCAATTGCAAGCTTTATTTTATTTAGTGTTTGACAGCATGTTAAAGTAGCTGTCAGCTTTGACAAAAACAATCAGCGCAAAGATTTAATCGTGGGCGAAAATTCGATTTGATTTACTTTTCAAATGGTTATTATTCAAATATCATGAATGTAGTTTGTGCGGACAGGTGCCCAAAAATCCTCTTATGTTAGAAGCTTAACCTTTTACTGTTAACAGGCTGATCGGAGCATAATCTCTAGACTATTTTTCGACCTACAGCACTTTGGAGGCACGTTTCTGTCGATCAAGTGGAATTTATTACTTATCTCATTTGTTACTAGGTTGGCATATCGCCCCCAGGTTCCTCTGGGGCTGCTCCGGTTACGTTATTCAATAATGCACTTTGAGATCGTAAACAAATATGTGCGCAAATGTCATACGCAGAAAAATGTCCGGACGTCAACGCCCTTCTGTCCCTCTACGGCAACGATTATCGATGAGTTTCTGGAAAAAACAAATTTTCTGAAATGCAATAAAAACAAACGCATTATATTTACAGAAGTAAACATTCACATATCAGCACGCCGATCCATAAGTAATACTTAAAACGGAAACGTTTTCAATACCCTGTAGCCAATATAAGCAAATGGAATGCACCAGAAGGTGGAACAGGAATCGAGGCACTAAGGTTCTTATATCATATGTATGGGCAGATAAATAAATTAATTAGTTAAAATAATGGCTATCCAATCGAACTCGGCTAGCTTCATGCTTGAGCTCACTCTACAAATGTAGGGTATAGAAAGTATCGCCTAAGGGTTACTTTTACGATGGTAACAAACTAACTGTTAAAATGAAAGTCAAACTATTACGAAAGGATCGAATTGCTAAAAGTATCACAGGTATTCATTGTAGGCTTAACAGGGTATCTTAGGGATCGTACATATGTTTTTTCTGTAATCTGAGAATGCAAGCGTCTGTCAAAGATTGCGCCTGATAGTTCTTAGTAGAAATATATCAAATCTATTTTTAAAGCAAAGCTAACCACTGTGCAGCGCCCCGCTGTCCGCTGCCCCTTGAGCAAATCCCCAGCGCGAGAGCCAGAGAGAGGGAGAGGGGTCATGTAAAAACAAAAAGAACAAAAACAACAACAAGAATGATGTGCAAAGCGAACGATGATAAGCTAACTGAGCTGGTTTATTCTGGGCGCTCTGCTCCAGCAGCAGTGGAGCCAATTGACGTCAATGGCGCATCGAGATCCTGGTGGAAAAGTCAAGCGGCCAGCGAGCCGGTAAACACCTTTGCCAATGGACTTTGAACAATTGTTTGTTTGTTTTTGCCGAATCGAATCCGTAACGGAACCAGATCGCTGATAACGGGCAGCCACCCGCTTCGCAGGCATTGACAGCAACTGCAATGTGCTCCCCCTCCCTACACACACACACACACACGCGCGCGCTTAAATGGGAGGCTTGCCAGCAGAGCGCTTGACACAGTTTCTATTTGTGTTTGGCCGATTGGCAAGCGATAAGCGCGCTCCACTGTACAGTCATCTCTCTGGGCAAGGTCTTATCTGTACAAAATTCCAAATATGTAGTCTTTGTCGCTGTCATTTTTGGGCGCTTCTTCCTCACGCTATACTGTCTGTTACAGCGCTGAGTTGGCGAAGAAGCTTTAAGCTTCGCTGCAAGCTTTCGGCTTGGCGGCGCAGCGACTTTGATCTTCGACGGCTGCTGCGTCGCATCGTGCTTATCGTGTTGTTAAAGTGCATCTAACAGCGACGTTGCAGTCGCAGTCGCAGTCGCTGCCGCGACGCGTTTTGTACTTTGCATCCAAGCGTGCGCTTAGCGGGGGGTTGTTGAGCGCGGCAAGGCGAACGGGGCGGGTTAAGCTTATCTCAGTGCCGTTATACCCCGCTCAGCAGCAGCAGCAGCAGCGACGTCCGAGGCCGAAGCTCAAGTCGTTGGGCATACAAATTGCGTGGCGTGCAGCTGATCGGCTCAGTGCTGTGTCGGTCGTCGGACGCAACAGACAATATTGGCGAATAGCCAGCAATAAATAACGAGTAACGAGTAACAAGTAACGTGTAACGTGTAACGAGTCACGATTAGCGCAAGAACGTTTTAATACCCGGCGCTGCTTAATAAAAGAAACGTGCCAAAAACTTGAGCACACGTACTTAATAAATGGTCATATACTTGGACTCAAAGTGAACGTCGTCGAGTGGTCAGCTAGACAGAGAGAGGGAGAGAGAGAGAGAGAGAGAGAGAGAGAGAGAGAGAGAGGTAGAGAGAGAGAGAGAGAGAGAGAGGGACAGGTGCGCGATTTGGCGCCGATAAGATTAATTTAATTAAAAGCAACAACAACAACAACGACAACAGCAATTGTCTTAGCTTCTTCAGTTAAGCTATCTATTGAAAAGAAGAAAGAAGAAAAAAAAAAGAATTAAAAATCTGACGTGTTGTGTACCTTCAAGTGATTTAGTCTAGTTCCTGCCGAAAATGTAGACAGTCTGCCACAGGGCAGCAGCAGGTGAACTACAACAACAACAACAACAAGGAGAAGAACAAGAACAACGATTAAAAGCCACACACCACAAGAGTTGAGTTGAACCAGCAAGATGTATGTGGCCAACACAACCGGCGGCCTCATGCTGCAGACCATGCTCTACTTGGCCAACCACACGAGCCGCGCGGCAGTCAACACGCTGATCGATCTGCCACCGGCGCCCAAAAGCGGTAAGTGATCCGACCAGGTCAGCCAGACAGGTATCTCTGTTAGTTTGGCCAATGAGTCCAACTGAGTTGCCCAATTCTCGACAAAGAAATAAACACAAACAAGAACGGCACAACGCACATTAAATACACTTCTTGTTAAAGATATCTTGGAAAAAGGAATGACAACTTTTTCTTATAGAAACCAATTTGTTGCTATATTATATAGTCATACGATATTGATAAGACTTAACGGGGTAAGGACTCTGCTTTGTTTTAGTTGAAATTCCTGGATACGTATTAAATTAACATATTTAATAGTGCTTACATATATACCCTCTACCCCGACCCCGACAGGGTATTAGACAACGAAATATTTGCATTTCTTTGTATTTAAGTAAGAACTCTCGCCAGAAATGTGTTTTATAATTGCCAAAATTTAAAGCTAAAGTTTCATATATTATCCATATGATTTTTCTATGCATATTTTGTATCCAGTTAAATCTTTGATAATCCTTTCAATAAACTCAAAAGATGTGAACAGAAGTTGAGCCTCTATAGTTTCTTAATGAGTGTCCGGTCTTCTTACAAGCTTGACTTGGGCCTTAATTAACAAGTTAACAACAGTGTTAAGTGCTTTACTAATTGCTAAATCAATTTGTTAATTAAGTGGTTTAGTCGTAAGCACTATCAAAGGTTGCATTCGTTCTAATCGAATAGGTTGCGATGTCTGTTCCAATTCGAACTTGCGTGTTAATCAATTGGCAAAGAAATCATAATATTAAAACAATCTTCGGAGGGTTTACTTTCTGAGTGCATTAACAGGGTATTGGCAGGGCGACTACTGCCGCTCCAGAGTAGTCCGTGGCAATGTCTGTTTAGGGAATTCTTTAAGAAATTGCCAACTGCTTTTGCTGTTGACGTATTCCCTGCCCAACTATTTTAACGCTTAGTTGGATTGAAAGTTGTTCGGCTTGGGCCAAAGGCAAACGAGATCCGACAAGACTTTGGACCAAGATCCATGGCTGCGTCGCTTGGGCAAACAGAAATTCTGGTTTCGAGCGGAAGATTGTGCTCGCTGCCAAAGGGAAAGCGTTTAGAATGCATTCGACATGCTGTCCAAAGATTCGGTTAGTTGCTTCAATTAAATATGAGACGAAGCAGACAAAAAAAAAAAACCGAAAGCGGGCAAATTGCAATTACGACTACGCCTATCTAATAATATATGCGAGCAAATAACTTCCGATATCCAAAAAAAAAAAACACACACACAACAGCAAGTCAATTGCGATAAGACAACACAGCTACAACAATGACAATGACGACAGACATTTGGGCATTCCATCATCTGGCCAATTGCTCAGTTGGCCATTTGGTCATTTTGTCATCGATCGGGCGGATTTCGATTGCCACGCAACGCTGGGCAGCCGGCGAAGGCTGTCGACCGCGGAAGAAGGAATCCAATGAGAAACATGTTGCGCTTGAGCAAACAGTCAATGAAGATGTCCAAATGCCAACGCTAACAGAACAAAAGTTAATCAGTTGCTGTAACAGCATCTTAACAGAGCCAGAAAACTGTTAACAGTGAGTCCCAAGTGTGAAGGCATTTTAACAGCACTGCTGGGGTAACAGCTGTTAAGGTCAGACTACAACAGTAGCTTAGCTTAACAGATAATTGTTAGCAGCGGTTAGTTAGAGAACATGTTAAAGAGCGTTGTTAAAACATCACTTTAACATAGCTAGAACTGTTAAGGCATATTGATAAAGTTAGAAAATTTTATCGAGAGCCATTTTTATGCAGACCCTGGCTGAATGTAAATATCCATTAAAATAATTGCGATTCTAGAACAGCACGATAGCATAGCATTTAACTGTTAGCAAGAGCGCACTGTTAAGAGATTTTGATAAAGTTAGAGAACTCTTTGAGCTATATTTTAATGCAGACCTTGGCTGCATCTCGAATCTTGAGTCTTTAACAGCGGTTTAATATAGCAAGCGAATATAAAAACCATTCTAACGGCAACTTCAGGCGATTGTAAATTTCCAATTAATTTAAAGCAAATGCCCAAGCGAGTTTCCAAAGGCACCTTAACAGATCACGCAACTGTCAGTAACAGCGCAATGTTAATTTCTGTTAGAAGGTAAATTTCTGTTAGAAGAAATGTCTAAGCGAGTCGTTGACAGCGCCTTAAGACAGCAAATGGATGTTAATAACATTTATCACAGTTTTCATGACATTGTCTCTCGTTTGAATTACAGACATCAACGAGGTGAAATGCTTTGGCGTCTACGGCTGCTTTCCCATCAACGGACCCTGGAACACGGTCACGCGGACGATAAATGTGCACCCGCAGAAGCCCTCCGAGATTGAGCCGCACTTCACGCTGCACACGCGTCGCGCCATGGATCAGGCCAAGTACATAGATCTCAATGATCCGGACAGCGTTCAGGGACTGGGCATAAATGAGCTGGGAAAGATCTATCTGCTGGTCCATGGCTATCTGGAGTTCGGCGAAATACCCTGGATGCTGGAGATGGGCCGGGCGCTGCTCAACCATTGTCCGGAGGGCGAGTGCGCCGTGATCCTGATCGATTGGGGCGGCGGCGCGAGTCCGCCGTACGTCCAGGCGGTGGCCAATATACGGCTGGTGGGTGCGATAACCGCGCATGTTATCCACATGCTGTACGAGGAGCTGCGTCTGCCCAATCTGGACAATGTGCACATCATTGGGCACTCGCTGGGTGCCCATCTATCCGGCTATGCCGGCCACCATTTGCAGCACGACTTTGGCCTCAAGCTGGGCCGTATCTCTGGCCTGGATCCGGCGGCGCCGCTCTTCACGGACACCGATCCCATTGTCCGCCTGGACCGCACCGATGCCCACTTTGTGGACATTCTGCACACGGATGCGAATCCGCTGATGAAGGGCGGCCTCGGGCTCATCCAGCGTGTGGGTCACGTAGACTTCTATCCGAACGGCGGATTCGATAATCCCGGCTGTGACAAGAAGCTGCAGGACGTGATGAAGAGCAACCGCAAGGGCAGCCTTTTCTCCACCATGCAAGAGTTCCTCGGCTGCAATCACATACGCAGCGAGCAGTACTACACGGAGAGCATTGGCAGCAAGTGCCCCTTCATGGGCATCACCTGTGACTCCTTCGATGTAAGTCCCGCCCAGCTGCATCTTCAGCCTAGCCGATCTGACTAATCCCTTGTTCATCTTCTCGATTTCCCTTTAGAGCTTCAAGGATGTCAAATGCGGCAGCTGCGATGAGCCTGGGCGTCTGTGCATGCGCATGGGCTTCCACAGCCAGGAGGACTATGAGGAGCAGCTGTCGCGTGGTCTCCTTAAGCCGCAGGATCCGCCCCCGGTCTTCTATCTGATGACGGGCGATCGGAAGCCCTTCTGCCGGCAGCACTACAAGATCACGGTGCGCGTCTCCAGTCACGACGAGAGCACCCTGCATGGCGGCGAGATTGGCACGCTCTCCATACAGCTGCACGAGGAGCACAACAAGAAGAAGACCACCGAGCGCATGAAATTCTCGCCCAAGGCCATGTACTTTGAGCCGGGCTATGAATATACGGCCTTGGTGCCGGGCAGGGATCTACAGAAGCCGGGCCATGCCAGCGTCTACTGGGAGTACCAGACGAACATACTCAATCCGTTGACCTGGCGCATCCTCTCCGCTCCGCGCATCTATCTCGAGTACATACTCATCGAGTCGCTCGAGTCGAGCGATACTTATCTGAAGCTCTGTCCGCTGCACGAGGGTGCCATACTCTCCGGCGCAGAGAATGTCCTGCACACGGCCTACTGCAAGGACTAGCTGCCCAAGGCGAGGAAGGGCGTGGCCAGGGGCGCATTCCAAGATTTCTAGCAATTAGCCGAAAGCTTTTCTCTGCGCAGCCAAAAAGGCGGCAACAGAATCGGTTGCACTCAGTCGACTCATCCGGCCGCAGGGTTGGTGGGTTGGTGGCTTGGCTGAGAACAGTTGCGGCTGTTCCCCCTTTTGCTGTTAGCCTGGGCACACACCGAAAAGCCTTTTGTATTTTATTATAGTATTCGTTTAATTCATAAGCTATTCAAATTGCAGCGGAAGAGGAAGAGCACAATGTTAATTTATGTATGTGCATGTGTATATGTAATTGTTATTTATGCTAATCCATTTTTTTTTTTTTTGGCTTTTTTTTTAATATATACTTAATTAGCGTATTTATGAACAGAATTTAGTTTGAAAATAAAACAAATTGAAACCTTAACAAAAATTCACTCTCACAGACTCAAATCTAATCTCCTCATAATCAATTTAAAACACTTTCAACTCAGCAGCCCGAGCTCTTAAAGCCTTACATTCCGGTTTTCATGAGGAGTCTACATATAGAAACTCTTTAGTGTGCTTCGCATTTCGACACAGAGCACATCGAAAACATTTTTCGAAAACAGATTTACCAACAAAATTGATCAAATTTAACAAAATTGTAGACAAAATGACTACGTGTTTGTTATGGCCGCATAAATGCTGGGCTTCTTCTTAATCGTAAGTTTATCGTTAATAGATTCATTTTATATTCTCTCTAAATGCTTGCTTCCAGTCTCCGCCGTAGCTTGGATAGGTCTAGGCTAGGTTAGGTCGCTTGATAGGGGTCAACCATGAGGCAAAAGTCACATTATGGAGGTAAGTGGGCAGCACTCTTTTAACTGGACAACTAATCCCAAGGACTTCCTCTTTATAGAGTGATTACCGTGTAATATATCCACACTGTTAAAAATTGTGATTTGATTAAGTGTATCAAAATTTTAAGTCTCGTGTATGACGCAGCTGTTTACACAGAAAATATTAAGAACAAAAAATTGTCATTATGTGTTTGCATTGACTGGAACCGTAAGGGCATGATAAAAATATACTTGAGCATATATAATGCCAACTTTTATGTCGACATGTTAATTGCTCTTTTCTTAAGCCAATATTCGCCAATCAGACAGTCAATCAGCCTGTCAATCAGCCTGTCAATCAGCCTGTCAATCAGCCTGTCAATCAGCCTGTCAATCAGCCTGTCAATCAGCCTGTCAATCAGCCTGTCAATCAGCCTGTCAATCAGCCAGTCAATCAGCCTGTCAATCAGCCTGTCAATCAGCCTGTCAATCAGCCTGTCAATCAGCCTGTCAATAAACCCTTCAATCAGCCTGTCTATCAGCCTGTCAGTTAACCAGTCTATCAGTCATTCAGTCTATGTCAATCAGCCAGTCAATCGGCCAGTCAATCATCCTAGCAGTCAATCAGTAAGTGAATCAGTCGGTCAATCAATGACTTAGTCAGTCAGCATAAGTATTAACATATAGATTACAAAAGAACTGAATCTGATATTAAGTGCATTAAGCAATAGTCAATAGTCAGTCTGGTAATCAATCAGTCATTCAATCAGTTAATCAACCAATCAGGAATCAGTTCATCAGCCATGCAGTCTATTAGTCAATTAGCCAATTAGTCAGTCAATCATCCAATCAGTCAATCAGTCAATCTGTCAATAAGCTAATCAGTCCGTCAATCAGTCAGTCAGCCTGTCAGTCACTCAGTCAATTATCTAATGAGTCAATCAGCAAGTCAATCAGTCTATCAGTCAATCAGCCAATTAGTCAATCACATATGTATGTAAACATAAATATATATATATTCTTGATCCGTGGCGAGAGTTGGGCGCGATTGATGAACATTTAAAAATGTCTTCGCCTGAAATTTCGTGTGAACCTTATGATTCGGATCAGCTGTTGTTTCTAATGAATTAAACACACGCACACACACACACGCATACACATTTCATCTTGTGGATCCTTGTTTTTGTTGTTAATAATTTAAATGCTTATCTCGTCGACTGTATCTATCGCATGCGTGTGTATCTTTTACATATAATTGATACTATCTGCATTTGATTTGACTCGTTTCAGTTTCTGTTTCAGCTTCTTCCCTGCCCTTCACTGCTCCTCTCTTCTTTTCTCTTCTTTCGTCTCACCTTTCAATGAGAGGTTGTTGTTGTTGTTGTTGTTGTTTTGGACATTCCACAGGTTGTTGGCCAAGGCCTAAAGTTCTGCTGTCGACTTGTATCTTTTATATATACCCTAGTTTAAGGTATCGTTGTTCTCCCATGAACTGTAATCCACAATGCGGGGCACGTAGGTCTATATATATCCATCTATATATTTCTAATCTGTGGCCAAATCGAGTCAGTCCGTCTGTCTGTTTAATTCAGCTTAAGGTCTATTGGCAAGCAAACACTGACCAGGTCAGCTTTTCTATTGCAACTGCCGGATCGGACTACTATATCTCATATATATTTCTTCCCTTTTCCTTACATGTGAGCTAAGTCTTATCCACATCGGACGAGTATGTCGAGTAATTGGGTTCTCGTGTGAAAAGGTTCTCATTTTTTTCCAGATATTTTGATCTAACATGCCTGCTGAGCCGTATCAAATCGGTCTACTATAGCATATCTTTCCTATAGGAGGAATCCGTTGAAAGAGAAGCACAACCAAAGGGTATTTAGTCTGCGGCTTGCCGTGGACAGAGATGCTCCTGGCTCTTGCGATTGCATCCACACTGCCTCCCATTCCTCTTGCCCCTTACTCCGCTGCAGCACTGCCCCCCTCCTCCCCTCCCCTCTCTGGCCATGCTTGTTGATGATCATGTTGACAATCTTTGGCAGCGGGCACTTCTCGGAATTTGGCCTGTTTTGAAAAACCTTTTCTTTGTGTTTTTTGTTTCTTTGGGATTTTTTCTTTGTTTTTCTGTGCATGTTTTTGTGGTTTCTGGACGTTTCCTCTAATACGCACGCATATTCATTAATAATGTTAATCGATTTCGAATTGTGCCCCTTCGAAAGATGTCACTTGTTGCCACACGCACACACACACACACACACACACACACCAACACACCAACACATTCAAGTTGTGCCACGCCCATTTGGCCCATTGCAATTAGCGTGCTGCTGCGACGCCTTCTCCTCCTCCTCCTCGCTCTTCTTCAATCCTTGCCCATTCGGGCTGTCATTTTAAATTGCCTGCAGCTGCGCTTTGGCTCGACCTCAGCTTTGCTCCCATCTTAATTAGTTGCTCACCTACCCATCCACCTCCCCCTTCCCCCCACTCCCCAACCCCCTTAGCCCGGCGCCGGCTGAGCGACATCAAATGCAACTCAAATCAAAATGTCATAATTTCCAAGAGACGACACAAGCGACAATACGTCAACATGCCACACAACCGCACCCCCACTCTCCCGTCCTTTCTCCTCCCCTGCCTTCTTTTACCCCTATCCCTGTTTAATTAGTCGTCCGCCCCCCACCGCCCACCGCCCACCGCCCACCGCCCACCGCCCGCCGCCCGCTCTCACGTTGGCGTCGCAAACAAATCACGTAATTATGATTGAGCGCAGCCAACGCCAGCTACCCCTTCTCCTTGCAGATGCCCCTTTAACTCTTCCGCTACACCCTGCCCCGCCCCCGCCAACATGGGCAACTGCAGCGCGGAGCTCATCTGTGGCGCATTTTGGGGCTTCCTTTATGGCGCATGGTGCATAAAAATAAATCTGTCCGGCTCGCAGCTGCCGTAATTGAATGCAAATGCCCATCATCCAAAAATACGTGGCATCTATTGGAGCGACCCGCCCCTATCGCCCACTCGCCCCCGCTCGGCGTAAAGGCGACAATCTGCTATAAATTATCGTGTGTAGGTGCCATTCTCCCCCCCCCCCCCCCCCCCCTGCCCCAACTCCACCCATCTCCCCCCTGGCATCCATTCACATGCCGCAGCGATGCTTCATTGTGTTTGCTGGCGATGCGTGGAAAACTAATTTTCCAATTCCCATTGCAGCTCTCTCTCTGTTGTCAGTCGCCCCCATCCCCCCCCCCCCCCCCCCCCCCCCCCCCGTCTACCCGCGGCAGCACTTTGCCTCCTTCCCATGATGTTGCCTCTTTCCTGTGTCGTTTATCTTGGGCACATTTTGATATTCATAATTTGTGGCGTGTGGCTCTGGCGCACTCCTTGTGGCATGTTGTTAAATTGCACCACGTGTTTTTGATAATGACGACATAATTATCCGACGCCCTGCCCCCGTCCCTGCCCCTGTGTCTGACAGTCCGTAGACACATTTCGCAGCAGCCTGGAGCCGAGCTTCAAGTGTGCCACGAGACAGTTTCCTGCCGCTTTACATTTAAGAGCTCAGAAAAGAATATCCTGGAGGAGGGTATTACCCAACTGACTTAACAATATAGTCTCATTTCCCGATATTCAATACTATATTTATAGATATGTGACAAAGGGAATGAAGCCCATTCAAAAATTAAGAGAGAATTGAGAACATCCGCGTACCAGATCTTACTTGGCTTGGGCTCTGCATTTATCATCAATCCTGACCAAGCACTCAATCAATCCATTCTAACATATGTCCAAGCAAACTGTAACCCAACTCAGTAGCCCGAGCCTGTCATCCGGCTCCACATGGGAAATCTACAAAGAGCAAGTTTTCAGTGTGTTTCACATTTTCGTACAGAACACAACGAAAAAATGTTTGGAAAAGTGTAAAAAATAAACAAATGTAATAAACTTTTAGAATTTTGATACAAAAGGACTTAGCAACAGTTGTTATGGTTGCATACAAATTATATTTTTTCTTAATCGTAAGTTTAGTGATCTTATTTAATTGATATACCCTGTAAACTCTTGCTTCCAGTCTCCGCCGTGGCTAGGATAGGTCTGGGCTAGGTTAGGTCGCTTGATAAGGGTCAGTCATGAGGTAAAAGTCACATTATGGAGGTAAGTGGGCAGCACTCTTTAAACTGGACAACTAATCCCAAGGACTTCCTCTTTATAGAGTGAATACCATGTAATACATATGTCCACACTGTTAAAGATTGGGTTTCAATTAAGTGTATCAAAATTTAATGTATCGTTATATATTTAATAAAATTAATGTCAATATAAATAGTTGTCAGGTTGATTATAGAACCTGTTATTCCCAGTACTAACTATTTCATTCTACATTTATCGCACTTTAACATAGCTGTAGTGCGCTGTAGTGCATGCCATTCTGTTATCTAGCTGTTAGCTTTACATGCGCTGTTAACAGCTCTGGCCCCTTCCCACTCAATGAGCTAAGCGCAGCTGAAGAACAAAGCTTTTAGGAGCGCAAACCCCTTCCTGCAGAGGCGGAGGTGGGGCGCGTGTCAGGGACAGAGAGCTGCAAACAAATGTGATGACAAAATGTGAGGGATTTCCGGGCAGAAAAAAAAGGAAAAACAAAAACAAAAACGAAAGCAAAAGGAGTAAATAATAATACAAAGAAACCGCTTGCGGTCATATAGAGCACTAATTTAAATATCATTAGTAAACAATTAAAACAAAAGGAATTCAACAACAGCAAAAAGGAGTCCAAAAGGACGACATTAACAATGCGGCATTATCGCAAGCCGCCTGTCAACGCGCGCCACGCCCACAGGCGTTGGCCAGCAGCAGCAGCAGCAGAAGCTTACATAAATGTCACAGCCTGGCGCAGAGTGTGAGAGAGCGAGAGGGAGAGCGGGAGAGCAGGAGAGGGAGAAGCACAGAATAAGTGCGAAGCGTGGACAGAAATCAAAGGGCGACATTTTCTGTTTTGGCTTTACGCAAAGTTGTGACAGCTCCAAAAGGATTGCGAACAACAGAAAGAAAAGGATTGTGTTTTTTTTTGTTTGCCTCTGTGCTTGGCAAGGGGGAGGGGGAGGGGGGGGCGTCGGCTATTGTGCTGTTGTTTTTGCGTTGACTGCTCGGCATTTACCGTTAATTGCATTCCATATATAATTTGTCAAAACACAAGACAAACCAGACACCCGCCCTATTCTTTCTCTCGCTTACCCTCCCCTCCCCACACTTGCAATAAATTCTGCCCCTGTAGCAAGCCCCTGCCCTGAGTTGAGCTTTTTTTTCGTCTAGTTTATAAACGTGCCTTATCCGCGCACGTGGGCGCACAGCCTGCGGCGATTCGCATGGTCCACATGGCCAGGCTGCCGCGGACACGTGCCGCTGCACTCCCCGCAGCCCGCAACCCCTGCTCAACCAGCAGCAGCAGCAGCAGCAGCAGAAGCCGTCGGCGTCGACCGCAAGTCACCTGATGATGCTTTTCCCATGCCAAAGACTGCTGCTGCTGCTGCTGCCACGCCCCCGCCCATTGCAGAGCTCGCTTGCATGCTTAAGCACAGGGGCGTTGCTATTTGTGTTTGTCTGTGTGTGTGAGTGCGGAGAGGGGGGGGGGGGGTCTGTTATGTTATTATGGCATGTTGGTTAGCTAAGGCAGAGGCGGGGGCGGGAGCGGGGGCGGAGTTTGGTTATGCATACAATATGCTTGTAATATGATCCTGCGTGCTTGAGCATAATTTGTTATTTTAGCTATCGCATTATGCTACCTCTGCAGGCCCCCTTCCCATCCCATTCCGCACTCCCTCCCACTTCTGATTATACTACGCACTTCGTAAAATATATTTGTACGTAAATGGATTTCTCTCTTGTCTCTTAACATTACAGCGAAACGGAACATCTTTTGTCAGCCACAGCAGAACAAAAAAAAAACCATGAGAAATAAAAAAAAAATCAAGTAAAACTGGTCTAGTCGGGTAGGGTTGACTAAGAGATACCCTGAAATCAACTGAAGCACGTCTGTGCTTCTTCTTTTCCTAAATCTAGGCTATGGTTTTTGGGTATTGTCCGAGCTTTACGTATCTATAGCTAGTTATAGAGCAAATCGATAACGATTTTTATCGAATTCATGATAATTAAGAAAGTTATCGATGATTTGAAGATAGGAGAGGTTATGTTTAAATTTCCTTATGTTAACCTCATTTAGTTCCCGACCGAATGACAGATAGACAGACGGAAAGTTGGATCGACTCACCTGTTGCTGCTGTTTCCCCCGTTCCCTTCCTTTTCCACCAACTTGCTCCTAGTTCTGCGTGTTACATACGGTTGCACAAAGCGAATATAGCCGTTATCAGTGCGTTCAGGGTATAAAAACAGCAACGAAAAATATCGATTACATTCGCTGAAAACTTTTTGTCTGTATTCCGCCACAACAAGCAGGCGAAGAAGAAGCAGACGCAGAAGCAGAAGAAGAAGAGCGCATTGGAGCCCCGAATAACATAACCATAAATAAGGGTAATAAAATTGATGCTCAGTTGTCGCTGCAGCTGTCCTGACTAAGAGCAACAAATAAATTTGTTTGTTTTTTTTTTGTTTTGTTTTGTTTTTGTTTTTGTTTTTGGCGATCCGGCAATACTCATAACATTAACTCAGCGTCCAATACCAAAGCGAACCTCATCCAATCCCAGTCGCATCGCATCGCATCGCATTGAACAGCTTCCAACTTTTAATGAACTGAACTGCGATCACGAAGAGATCCAAGAATGGAAATGCACTTAATGCCAATCGGGGTTACGAGCCTTGCAAATTTTGTCACAACATGATGCCACAATTCCGTTTTATTCCAGGGCTTGAAGGGTTTTTTGCCTGTAAAATCTGGCATGCCATGAGGAAAGCAAAGGTAGGCCCTTCAAGTAAGAGGAAATACTATATTTCTTGATAAATAACACATAAAACAGCAATAGATCCTGTAAAATGTACGCTGAATACGCATGTGCCGGAGTATTTGCAGATGTATTGGTGAATCTGCGCATTTCTCCCATATGCAAGGCCCTGAGCTGCATACGTGTGAGCTGTATGTGTGCAAGCTTTTGTGCATGTATATGTGAGAATGTTATTTATACGATTTTCGATACATAACTGCCTTGGGCTATTTTAGAATTTATTGCATTCAACTGTTTCTTAAGCAATCTACAAATACAACAATTATTAATACAAAAAAAAAAAAAAAAATGACAGAATATGGCTTACATTTAATATTATAACTTAAAGGGGAAGACAAATATTAATGCATGTTCGATGCGAGTATTTCTCTGTTCTTTTTATTTGTGACTCTTGTCTTTCTTATTATTTCAGTCAGACGTGGAAGGATAAACAAATATCTTGATATCTAAATCCATAGATGTACGTTGTATAGATATATATATATATACATATATGTATGTATGTACATATGTGTAATTTAAGTAGGTTTTTATCGTATACAGCTGCGTATGCATGGGTATTTATTACTTACAGCGAGTACTTAAATGAGTAAGTACTCAATTTCGATAATGAGAGCGCATTCGCTCACACTTGAGCACACTTGCAAAGCAAAGCCGACAAATGCTCTTTTTTCTCTGTTCCTTTTGTTGTTGTTGTTGTTGTTGTGACTGTTTGTATTTCGCTTTGTTTTGTTTTGTTGTTTCGCTGCTGCTGCTGCTGCTGGCATTGTGTTTGGCCATAAGGCGAAACATGCTCAAAGCGGCGAGTTATTAAAAACAATATTCGCCGGATAAGCAGCCAGGCGTGCAATGGGCAAAAAGAAGAAGCAGCATCAGCAGCAGCAACGGTAACAGGCGGCAAAAGAGTCGAATTTGGTTTGAGGAGTGTGCAATGTGCGGCTTATCTCTCATCTTTGCATTAACACTTCGGCTTTTCGCCGCTTGCTATTGTTGTTGCTATGCACACACACACACATGCACGCACGCAAACACACTCACACACACACACAGACATGGCACAAAATGGCAGCCACTGAGGGCATTTCGCTTATCAGATCAACGCAATCGCCGCGCTGTGACAATGAAAATTTAGCACCTTGAATCATACAATCACACACACACACATACTCTCTCTCTCTCGCTCTCGCTCTCTCTTGCCGCGCTTACAACTTTTCAAAGGCATTGGCATTGGTGAGCATCTCACGAGTCAAACGCCAGACCTGCTTGGCAGCCTGCTCGAGGGCGCTGGGGGATTTGCCCTTGAACATATCGAGGCTGGGCAGAAAATAGTGGGGACAGCGGCGATATTGGAGGCAGGAGATTAGCTGCAGGAATATACCATTCAAACGGTCCGCAATGCAGCTCTCGTCCCACTCAAAGTCACGCGGATGCTTCTCGCACTCGTAGAGCAGCAGATTCTTCAGGTGATACGCGCTGATCGGATTGCCGGGCAGCTCCAGGTGACGGTCACGCAGCGTCTTCAATATGCTCAGGCAGCGACGACGGCAGCCACCTTTGAAGATTCGATCAGATTTTTCAATTTCCATAGATTGCAGGATCTTCCCCCCTCTCTCTCTCTCTCTCTCTTACCTTGCAGCAGGCGATTCTCAGCCTCGAAGAAACTTAGAACCCAAGCATCGCCCTCCATGCTGGCCGCATTGTTGTTCTTGTTCTGCATAATGATGCTCTCCTTGGAGAGCAGATCGAAGCCCTCGGTCTTGACCTCGGCCACGATATTGGGATGCGGCCAGGGTATATGCGGCATAGGCCAATGCGCCGCCGATCGCGGCCAGATGCCGGAGCATTTGAAGGCCGGCGTTATCTGCACCACAAAGCGTTCCCTAATCCGCAGCTTCACCTCGGTGGTGTCGCCAATCATCTTGACCATATCCCGATAGATGCTCTTGTCACACGCCTGCGCCACCAACGTCTGGAAGCGGGCGCGAATCTTGCGCGACGACAGATAGCCCGACGCTGTGATGAACTCCACCCACAGGGACATGGAGCGCTTGCGTCCGTCGCTCAGCTTGAGCACCGCACAGCCGGGCAGGGTGCCGTCGTCCACAAAGTTGAAGACGCCCATCTGGTTCAGGTAGAGCACGATCTCGAACTCATTCGGCGAGATCACCTCAACGCCCTCGAATCTAAAAACGGAATTAATACATATTAGTACTTCAGCTGTACGGCGCATGTAATCCCTTGATCTTCGATCCGGACTCCAACTGGCTACCAATTGGATCTGCGTAATTCCGGCGTCCGACGGCTGTCATCGCTGCCAACAACAACAACAACAACAACAAGTGCGATCCTCAATCGCATTAAAAACATGCAATGTCATCCCGTCAAGTCATGCTATTCGACTCCAGCTCAATCTCGCTAACGATATGTGTATACCTATTATGTTCCGACTAATTGACTGACCGATTGAATAACTGACTGAATGACTGATTGACTGACAAATGAAACACAGCCCTAGCCTCAAGATCTAGAAAGCAAAAAGTTTTACTTTGAATGATGGCAACGGGATTTTCGAAAGTTCCATGCGAAAGCGTGGAATATTGGTGGAAAAGTGCATAAAACATTTTTATATATCCTTCAATTAGCATTAAGCTACTTTTTGCCATCTTTGTGAAAATTCATTTGAAACGTCCTTTCATCATCCTTTCAGGTTGCAAATAAAAGGGCAAAGGCCTTAAGTTCATTTAAAATTATGCAATAAATACGTGTTACAGGGATTCTTCAAGTCCAGCCCACTTTGAAATAGATATACAAATTGAATGCAATTTGAGGCGTGGTATTCAAGATGGTACAAATAGATTAAGTTTTCCACGGGCGGGAAATGGGTGGAAAAGTATTGTTTAAAGTTTGAAGCAAATAACTTGCCTGGAAAAAGCCAAAAAAAAAATCACGTCTATAATCG